AGCGCGCCAGAACATCTATCGTTACTTATGTCCACGATCTTATCGTGAATACCAAGCACAATACTTAATGTTGGCCGATCTGGGTTAGACACACATTCTTGTACGTACCGCTATTTGACACTGTCCTTTCGCTGGGAAACCAACGGATTAATTGTGAAATTTCCTGTTAACCAACCGAACGACATGATAAGATTTTCTTTAAACGGGTTATAATTTACTTATTACGTGTTGAATTAATAATGTCACTTTCACTAGTAATATGTATAAAAAATTGTAACGAAATCATTTTTGTGGTACTGAATTATTTCTATTGCAATGAACGTACATTTCTATTCTATACGAAAGAAGTAAAAGTAAAATGTAATAACGTTTAATCTGAGAAATGTGAAACATCAGAAATATGCTTTAGCATAAATCCAGTTTTAAACTAATCATTAAGAACTAAGTGTTTTAGTGTAACAAAACATTAATAATACATTGACGGTATGCATTGCATGCATCACGTTTAAGAAGACTGAAGTATTAATTTTCACCAACGACTATTTAGGTCAATACCTCGAATTTCTATTAAAAAGCTAAGAACGTTTAAAATTCCATGTAACCATTACAAGTGGCAGTGACGGAAAGCGAACGAAAAATTAGAATGGAATGGGTTGTGCTAAGAGTATCAATTTAACTTCTCTTCAACCTATATCTCATGATAAATTAGTTTCTAACGATAATTCGGGTACTTTCTACTTTTCATACTTCATTTTTTTAGAAATTAGAAAAAACGTTATCTTTGCATCGATGACAAATCTAAATTAGTTTCACTGGATATACGAGCGAATGCAGCAGTAGACAAATGAGCGTCAAACAGAGCGGAATGTACGTAATGGAGCATAAGATGTGCTACAAAAATATATAAAAGCGGCTTGAGTTTCATGACTAACCCAATGCGGAGCGAAAGTCTTATTCTTCTTGAACTCTTTACAAACTTAATGATATTATTTGCTATTGAAGCAACGAAATAATCGAAATGAAGTTCTTATTATTTTGTTTCAAGGGACATTAACGTATTGGTTCATTTGTGTTCTTAATTTTTCTAGATAAAGAACTTAATCTCAATAGAGTTTAAACAAATTTTTTGTTCTTATCGAGATATTGCAAGATTGCGATAAAAAGTAGAATGCTTTACTACAAAAAGTGTGGTTTTCTGATAAACGAGTTATTTTCCTTGTGAGATTTGTTTAAATATTTAAGACAGATCTGTTTGACATAATTGAGAAAAATAAATAATAAGTTTCTCAATAAAAGATCCATTATTCTTTTCTGTGCGTAACTGGAAAACTATTGGAAATGGTGCTTTACCATAACTTCTACTCTGATATAGAAATTGGAAATTTTACAAAGCACGCTTTCATCTTGTCGTATGAAGAGAACGATTTATCTCGATCACGAGGAACTGTTCCTGTTGCCTTAACATCGGCATTGCATTATTGCTGTTTAGAGCGAAGGGATTCACACAGTCACGTATTTGCTATCAAGTAGATCGATTCCCTGTCGGTACGATCCACTTAAGATGCCTTTGATGCAAATCAAGCAACAGGCAATATTACTACGATCATTCTTTCGTTTAAAGTTCAAACAGCTCGTTCAAGTGTTTGAATAAACAACAACGCGCTTTTAATAATGAAATGCATCACAAACAAAATTATATCAATTTAAGAAAGCAGTTTACAGTATGAATAACTTTAACGACTTACCCGATCCAAACGATGATACTACAGGCACTTTGACTTTATAATAAATTCTTTAACTTTATGAATCTTTTGCTAAACGCTAGTCCTAGCAGTATCATAAACGGTGTTTAATGTAAATTCAATTGATTTATCGAAATCTGTTGTTGATTTTTTCCCTAGTAACTATCGCACTGGCACGGTATTAACGACTGAAACATTCAACAGCTATGAGAGCGGGTGCACAAACAACGACCTAGGAATTTAAGATAGGCATCACCGGCGCAACTTACGTAAGCTTTACCTTTATGTCAGAAGGAACCAGGAAGCGTATCGTGGCTGATGGTAATGTAATCGTAATAACATGTACGTCGGTGGAAAGCTATTGTAAGAACGTGTCGGACGTAAAACCGTGGCGAAGCTCTTAGAAACCGTCGATTAACTTGTTTTATGTCAGACGTTTTTTTTTCTCTTTAAACAAACCAACATCTCTTTTTATCTTGATAAAAAACAGTTGCCCGAAGGATGTGCTGGCAATCATCAGACTTTTTATTGAGATAAACATTTGTATTTTATATTTACTTTAAATATCGTGAAACATTAGGGTATATTTTAAAAACTACTAAATTTCTAGCTACAACCTATCATTTAGTTGGTACGCACATGAGGCCTCAGAAATAGCTGGATGTATCGCATACATTATGAGCCATAAGTTCGAGATCATCTCCTTTATTGTTATATTCTATAGCACAACGGACAAGCGGCTATAATTCACAAATAACTGTATCTATTCTGTCTGGCAAGCAATCACCATTTACCTGTATACTTATATCAAACTTCAATAATCTACCACTGAATCCTTCATCGCTCGCTCATTGAAAAATGTGATATATATATATAAAATCTGCGATATTACGAGACATATAAGCCGAATTCTCGATGAAATCATCTGTAAGCTACGTTGTATCATCTACGGTGTATCTCCATATAGTAAAAACCAGACTTTTGCAGACCTCTATTCTCATGATCAAAGGCCTTGCAAAAGTAAGATAGTTCGCTTGATCATTGCAAACGACCTTAAGAAGATTGCTCGCTGTTTCATCCGATTATAGTAAGCTCGCTGGACAATGGTAATAGCACTCTAATAACGCGCGGCCGGGATGAAAAGTTGATAATACGACGTATTACGAGTACGGATCGCAAGAAGCGCCAGAGCGCACTAGCAGAAGGGAACGTGCAAAAAGGTATACAAGCAAATCCTACGTGCGCTCCACGTATTCCATTACAGATTCGACACGTGCGCTCGAAGTCTAGCCCTGATGCGAGCGAGCGATTCTATTCTTATCGGTTTTCTCGGCGCCCCTTTTCTTTAAACTTTCTGATCGAATAGAAATGTTCGAATTAAACAAAGTAACCAATACTCTACTTTTTTATTTAATCTGTGTGTGATAAACTAATGACGAATGAAATGAATAAATTTTTATCCTGTTTAAAATTTGAATTTCTAAAACAGAGGAAGTCTTGAGGTTCAAGAAATATCCATCCTCTATGGAGAGAAAAATATCGGAAGCATCACAGTATTCATAGCAATCTGAATCGCTCGAACGTTCGGATCTCCTTCTCCGGCGATACGTTATTTTTATGCGAGCTTGACATGACAATCGTAGTCAAGCTATCATGCACGTTCGATCTAATGGACAGCCGGCGGCCATCTCGCATAGAGAGATGCTGGAGAACCCGAGTTCCCTTCTTCCGCCACTTCTGTTCTTCCCGTTCTCCCACAAGCCTCGTAATATCTGTCCATTGTGTTGCTCGCGGTTCGTAACAATGGAGATACAGGCCACGCGGTCTAGGCGAGGAAAAAGTTCACGCGTTATCGTAACGCTAGAATTTAATGGCTACGACCTTTGATGTATTGTATACGGAGTAGGCACGCAATATGTATGTACGTACACCCGCATGCTCAACTCCACAACAGAAAGTGTCCTTTCCGCGATACTTCTTACCACCCTGTTTGCTTCACGTCGCGCGACATCCTTTTATGGTCCGCTGCTACCGTACTGCCTTTTATTTCGTCGCGCCCTTTCACGTTTCCGTCCCGTAACAGGCAGACTAAATCGCACGATCGTTCCTTTTTATGAAAATAATAGTTCGAAATACTGCTTGGGTTATTTGTTCATTTTATTCATTTATTTATTTATTTGTTCATTTATCTTTTATTTTTTTGGCAATACTATACTGCCTAGCACGAAACGTGCTACGTAGCATAGTTTTTTGATTCGAGTCATAAAGATATAGCGTCCCGGCGCAAATAAAGGAAAATGACCGTTTATTTGGATCAGGACGGGAAACAGTTTTACCGTACATTTATCTGAACGTTGTCCATCCAACTGGTAATTACGGAATTATGTCATTTGGCCGATGTTGTGTGTTATTGAACGATAACTACGGATGTGCCGTGAGAATTACTGTAAGTAATTCCATGGAATACGGATGCGCGAGTTTATACCTTGTTGGTTTCTTTTAAATGAGATAGTAAGATGTTTACAGCCATAATTTGAGCAAAGATGATGCCAATAGAGAATGCAGGCGGACTGAGGGAACAAAGAGGGAGAGTGAATGGACGATTACACGCGGCCTTCAGATTCCAGAAAGCCCTCAAGTAAAAGATAAAGAAAAGTGTTTCGGTTACAATTTGTCGTAGTAGGTTAACAGCCAGCATTATAAATCTAATTTTCCGCAAGCATCTCGAGTGGTAATTTCCTTTTTGCCTCGGCCGCTTCTCATCTTTTTCTACGGGGCGAAACGATTCGGCCCTCCCATGTTAATGCTATTAAAGCTCATTATCAAGGTTCTTCTTATTTGAAAGGCGGAGTACAGGAATTTATTACGATACACCACAGTGATGCAAAGTATATACAAGCGTAGAAAAGCGCATAATGGATGATACGGTCCACGGTAATCCCCTTCGGTACTTCTTGCCTAGCTTTTTGCCATTATATGACGGCTTACGTTGGATATTAATTAAGTAATTTGTCCGATACGCATTGCCTTATCGTTCCGAACGAATTATAAATGAGACATTTTCAACATTGACATTTTGTTCCGAGCTCTACTCTTTGTCGGGATTCTTGCTTGATGAATACAAGCTATAATATCGATGAACACTTTCCTTAACTCATTAACCTTTTCCTCTCCACCGCATTGCCTGTAATTACTCCTCAGTACAGCGAAGAATCTTTTTAATCTAAGTTCAATTAAGCAACACACAAACAGGTAAATGTAATTGAGCGAAAGCTAATTATACTTTGAAGTCAAACTATCAGATAATTTTATTATTACCTAATTATCGGTATAATATGATTTCATCTTTCTTTATAACGACGATAAAAAAGAGAACGATCGATAGTCGGAAGTGATCGAAGCTCCCGGGAGTTCGTTTAATGTTTATTAAACGTGATGCAAGAAAGCGATACAGTTACTCAACCTTCTTTTAATCACTGTTCCAACTCATGAGTCGACAGAATCAACTGATTCTTCATTTGCAGTATCACAATTCAACTATTTATTATTATATGTCGAACGCATCAGGCGTAGATATTGAATAAAAGAAGGACATTCTTTTTTACTAACAAATCTTTCAGTGCTTTTAAATGAAAATTGAGTCATGCCATCTGTAAAGGATTAAGAGGAATCATTAGAGGCTTGCGAGTTCGAAAAATCTATATACGATTAATGGCATTACATTCAGACACGTTAGCAGATGGTTACGGTGTGAAAGAGCGGGTTGAAAAATCTTCACGCGCAGAGAGAAGGACGTGCGCCGGAAAGGTAGGTTGACAAGTGCCCGCGTAGACGCGCGTTTCTTTCGCCTCGTGGTACGTAGCGCATGCCGTGAAAGTTGCGATACTTTGCGCACGTGCCACGTGCGTTCTGTTCTCCGGATATACGCGTGGCATTACGTCTGCGCCAGACGTTGTCGACTTGACGTCCTTTAGTTTGGTTTGGATGCACCTTTCTTGCTCTCTTCAAATCGTCTGACACGTCGCGCCGCTCATAGCCGCAGTATGCGTCACGGTACGTTTTAACAATTCCAGTAGCTTCCAGCTCTGAACCTCGCTCATTTTTTAAGATTGGAATCAATTTCAAATTTCTGTCTGACAGAACTCCAAATCGAAGATTGCGATAATAATAATCACATCCGTTTTAACAATTTAATTCTTGGACAGCTTTTGTCATATAAAATGTTAATAATTCAATCACAACTTTTAATATCCATAAACTGCGAACTATAGATGCTTGCTTTTTCGAACGGAACTGGAATTTCATAAGTGCGACTGGACTGTGGTACTTCTACACTTCTTATTCACCTTTTCCTTCGTTTATTCAGGTCCGCACCGCGCAGAGAAATTTAAATAGACAAGAATCCGAACGTAACGGATTGCGCGGTCCATTGAGTCCGCATAACTTGTTCCGAATGCTTAAAATCGGGGACGGAATAATAAATTTTCAACCATTAAACCAATCCTCGAACCAGGCAACTTCCGCTGGGGAGCATCGCGATTCTCGATGCTATTACGTTACGATAAGTTTCTGCATAAGGTTACATACATTCAAAATGTGGATGTTCTTCAAGAACAAGATTTCATAGACTACATAAATATAAATTGTTATATTGAAATTGAATATCTGATATATGGAATTATATCTATTCATGACTTAGTATTTTTGAAACTTTCGATCTTTCATTTAAAATGTGACCACTATACGTACGTAACATGTCTAAAGACATCAAATGATATTAATCACTTTCCCGAGCCGATTTGGCGCCGAAATTCGTTTCCCCATCAGCCAAGCCTACACGCGACACGATTCGTGCGTCACGGCACGTACACGCAAGTATCTTACTTGAATGTCACGTGTGCACAGCTGACCGACGCGTCGCGACGGTGCCGTCGACGGCGAACGAAGGAGTAGGAGAGGACAGAGTAGCGATGCAGAAGAACACGAGTGCGCGTGTATACCGCGTATTTACGCGCGGCATGGCGCGCGTCACGATATGCGATTTGCGCAAACGTCTTGATCGCTCGTTTACCAGGAGAACATCACCCCGTAGCGGTAGGCGCGGTAACGTGTACGTATCACCAGCCGCGTGCGGTGTGTCGAATTGCGTCGCGACGCAGCGCACCACAGATTATGAGACCACGTGCGGGGTGACACGTGTTGCCGCTGTCCGAACTAATCTACTTTTCACGTGAATCTTATCGGAACTTTTATCAAAAAGTTTCGATTAAATTCTTCAAATACGTATAAGACTAAATTAGTAGTTATAAGAGTAAGGATTGGCGCGAAAATTAAGTACAAACGTGGGCTTTAAAGAAATAAAAAATTGGAAAACACTGATTTATTCAACGTTGTCACCAGGGCTCTGAGATAAAACGTCTTACGGTGTTTCATAATACTCCGGCCCAGATCCGTTTTTCTTTTAAGAGGTCTGCATCGGTGGAACCCCATGAAACTTTCCGTGTTTTCTAATATTCTTACGTACGTGGCAGAATAAAAATGGGTTCCATTCCAAAAAGTGACTGATAAGCNNATATAACAAAATGCTTTCTATTTAATTTAGAGAGTTTCTACATCATTTATTGCAGACAAATATACTAAAGACAGAAAGAAGTCCAATGGATTTAAATCTTGTCACAGAAACTTTAATAACTCAGAAACTAATCATTTACGGAACTATGTTGGCATAACTTTTGTTTTGTCTTCAAGCATTAGGAATGTATTCCTAAAGTTTTGCCCACCATTTACGAAACACCCTGTATTTATATGGATTATACTTTGTACTATTATTGATGAAACAGTTACACGTCATTCCAATTATTGATTAACTATAGCTAAACAGGATATGAAGTACCTACAACTTATGAAATTACTACAACGTGTAAAATCGATAAAATGCGTAGGAAATAGGATTCATAAAAGGAGATAATAAAAATAGCATACTGCGTACTGCGTGCACGCAATGAAATATAACTAAACGGTTTGACAACAAAAGCTTATGCAATCAGTACGTCGTATAATTTAATTAAGTAAGCATATGTATACATATGTATTCCTGATGCGACTGCATGACAAAAAAGAAAATTAGAAGAGAAATTTCGCTTCCTGCCTTTCAGCGTACGAAAAAGGAAAGAGGCAAGAGAGCCGTGATTCAGATCGTGACGTAATTTACAATCGTAATTTGTTTATTCTCATCATAACTGTCGACTGGTGTTCTGGAATGCAGAGCCTTTTAAGATGCTCGACGATCCTCGAGGTGGAAAACTAAAGGCGGAGGAGGAAACACCGGAGTGCCGGCCCTGAACTCGATACTTTCGCTGCCATTGTGCGCTGATTGCAAAAATTTTCGTATCGCATTCGTACCGGTGAATTGCGAGGGCGCGAACTCTATGCGTGTTCTAAAGCGGGCCAATAAATTAATGTTACCAGGCGAGCACGAAACGAGAAGCGCGAACGCTGCACACTTTTGCAAAAAAACCTATTGTTAACATGTTGCCCTGTTACATGTGAAATAATGTCTCAACAATTTCACTCGTTGTTTAACAATCATTTCGCAACGATCACCAAACACGTTACGCTTACTCGTTGCCAAGACTACATTTTTACACGTAACTTTAAGTTGACAGCGGTAAGAAAACATTCTACCGTACGTCGTACGATTATTATGAGGTAAACTATTTCATTTCGATGGAACTTAGGTATTTTTCCTAATTTATTTTGTTTTCGACCGATGCAGAAAGTTCCTCTCGTTTTATACTACCTTGCTAGCGATTCTTGTAACGTTGTAACGTTTTCGTTGTTGCACGAGGTTTGTTGTTGCTCGGTTGTAATATGACGACTTTTTATCGTTAATTATATCGTTGCAATTACTCCATAGTATTATTATTTTATATTAGAAATGTTTGCAATTACTCCCTAATATTATTTGTATTTGCTATGCTCTATAACTTTCACCGTCACCATGTTACTGTGAAACTGAAATAGAAAAATATGTGAAAGAAGCCCTTTCAAAACTTCATTCTTCACCTTGGGGCAAAGAAAAGAAGAAGAAAAGTGTAGGGAACACATGCCGCTGTAATACCATTTCTTGGTGGCGACGACGCGTGCCTGCCACGAATGGCGATCGGAATTCCACTTTTCACGTGGGGGAATATTTCTTGCCTTTAGTCCGCACTCGGAAGCAGGCAGGGGCATCGGTGCGCTCATAAATAAGGCATAACCGTGAACGTAGGCGAGCTGGTCTGACTCGTGTGCGTTCACAAACGAGACGAGCCGCGGACTTCTTTTACACCGTGAGAGGGTGAAAGAGCACGAGGCGGTGCGATGTAGGGAAAAAAGCATCGTCAAGTAGCTACGTACAGGATGCTTTTAGCCTGGTAACTATGTAAGCTCGTATGCGTTACTTCCCCCGTGTTTATGACCACCACGCTTAGCTGATCTTAACCCGAAGGGTTACCTCCCTTTTCCAAGGGTAACACCCATTTCCGATGATCCATTTAGGAAATTATATTTTCTACCATGTTCACAGTTTAAATCAACATTTTCTCTCGAAATAATTAATAATCCCGCGTAGCAAAATCATTGATGACTCATTAATTTCCTTTTCCTTTTGCGAATAATCAACGCATAGCAAAGTGTATTTTCATCATTTTGTCGTCTCGCTGTGTACTCAGCCTCCGAACGTGCAATCCTGATTCGCAAAAATGCCTATACACGACCGTTCCCTCGTGAGGATGTGTACACGCGCATTATAGCAGCTTACGTCGCGACCATAAACAGACTAACGTGGCTAAAAGATTAAGAGTCGTGACCGGTTAATTTAATACGAACCATCGTGCGCCATGACTCGCAACAATTTTCGATATTGGGTATCCGGGTTACGATGTATTTACGGCCGCGCCGCGGCAGATAAAGCAACGAGTAAATTATTTATTAAACAATAAAATCGAGCCGAGAGACGTGGACCGGGAATTACCGCGACGTACGAGGGAAAACGTTTAATTTTCTACCTGTAGTGGGTGAAGCCCAATCGTGCGCAACCCGAGAGTATCGTAATGCGGTACAGATACGCTTCGCTTTAGAGAACGTGACTCATTCGCTCGTGTAATCGTAATTTCACGATGGATTTTTCTCATTTTTTTTCATCCCCCTCTGCCGATCGGATGTTTTTAATGTTTGATTGAAAATATCATCCGGCAGAGTTATAGGGAATTCCGCGAGCAATAATATAGACGCTGCGAAAGATAATGGAGACCGATCCTGTTGTTACCGAAGATGTTTTAAGGTGTACACCGATTTGTCGGAAGTACCATTCAAAGATATTCTCCTAAGGAAACTACTTCTTTTACACCGTGAGAGGGTGAAAGAGCACGAGGCGGTGCGATGTAGGGAAAAAAGCATCGTCAAGTAGCTACGTACAGGATGCTTTTAGCCTGGTAACTATGTAAGCTCGTATGCGTTACTTCCCCCGTGTTTATGACCACCACGCTTAGCTGATCTTAACCCGAAGGGTTACCTCCCTTTTCCAAGGGTAACACCCATTTCCGATGATCCATTTAGGAAATTATATTTTCTACCATGTTCACAGTTTAAATCAACATTTTCTCTCGAAATAATTAATAATCCCGCGTAGCAAAATCATTGATGACTCATTAATTTCCTTTTCCTTTTGCGAATAATCAACGCATAGCAAAGTGTATTTTCATCATTTTGTCGTCTCGCTGTGTACTCAGCCTCCGAACGTGCAATCCTGATTCGCAAAAATGCCTATACACGACCGTTCCCTCGTGAGGATGTGTACACGCGCATTATAGCAGCTTACGTCGCGACCATAAACAGACTAACGTGGCTAAAAGATTAAGAGTCGTGACCGGTTAATTTAATACGAACCATCGTGCGCCATGACTCGCAACAATTTTCGATATTGGGTATCCGGGTTACGATGTATTTACGGCCGCGCCGCGGCAGATAAAGCAACGAGTAAATTATTTATTAAACAATAAAATCGAGCCGAG